TCTTTTGTGAGATGAGGCATAACCCTCAAGGTGTTTTGAGGCGTAAGCCTCAAATCTAAAAATTGCGTAAAATGAAAATAAATGTTAAAATTAATTTTTTATATAATACTCAAATAATATGTTAAAGAATGACATATTAACTTTCTATTGGATTATGAAGTAACAAATTGGCATATATATATGAAACAAAAAATTGCATAAGACGTAAAGTGACAAATGATAAATTGCATGACAGAGAATTGAAATTCAACTATAACAAGAACACAACAACATGAAAATAATTTGTAAGGGGCTTTAGTTTAGGATTTAGATATGTTTTAATTAAAAAATATATAAATCGGTTGAGGCATACGCCTCACGCTAATAAGGTGAGGCGCGCCTCAAAGCGGGCCTCAGCCAAGCTGAGGCGTAAGCCTCATAAGAAAAGCTCGAGACGTAAGCCTCGAGGCTTTTTCACTGGAATTGCGATGAGGCGGGCCTCAAGGCCAGCCTCATATTGCACAATTTTAAACAATGAGGCTAAGTGCTACAATATCATATAGATGCAAAGGTCTACAACAATATCAAGCCTTTATCCCACTGCATGGGTCAGCTACATGAATCTTTTCTCTCCATTGTGTCTTATTAAGAGACAAATTCTCATATAAATCTAATAAAAAATGTCATTTCTATTATTTTCAAACCAAGTCTTTTTAGCTAAACCTCTACCTTTCTTAATATAGGCCAAATTCAATACATCTGCTCTCCTAACCGAGACATCGGAAAGCCGACGTTTTGCTTAATTAAATCATCTAAGGTGCCTCTCTCTAATCTTATATGTCACTAGAGCTACTCCAACTTTTTAACGTATATACTTGTTTCCATTATGTCTCCAAGAGTGAAGCCACTCATCCACCAGAGCATCCTCATCTCTACAACACCTCACTTAATTTTGTGCTTCTCTTTTAATGGCCAACATTTTGTGCCATAAAGCATTATAGGTTTGATCTCCATCTAATATAATTTTTCCTTAAGTTTGAGGGATTCTATTACACAACAGGCCTAATGCATTCCTCCAATTCAACCATCCAACTTGAATTCTACTAATAAATCCCCATCACTTTGAACAATAGAACTAAGATATCTAAAATGTGTACTCTTATTAATGACTTGATCGCCCAAAATCACAATCCTCCAATTAGATCTATTACTACCAAAATTATACTCCAAGTAATCATTTTTACATCTACTCGAACGAAAATTTTTCTAAGGTTGACATACTGATGCAAAGTAATTAGCTAAATTGTGGACTAGACGAAAATTTGAAAGAAAAAAATTTAAAGACAAATACAAATATAATGAATCCTCTCTAAGTTGAAGAGGTTGAATCCTCAAAACTTTTAAATTGATGAATTGCTTTGTATTTAACCCTCAAAACAAATACGTAAACACTACAAAGCCAAAAATATAAGTTACAAGTAACTTTCATTCAACTCATCATACTCAGGTTTGTACAAACTTGAAGGATTATTTTAGAAAGAGCGTGCCAATCAAAAAATCAAACTTTCTTTGAGGGATTATTGCATGTTAACTATCATGAAATTAATAACTAAAAAAAAGTAAACAACTAATTCCTAATTAAGAGAACATAAAGAAAATATTATCTTTGGCCACTCAAAGTAGAAATCCTATCACAATTTTTTCAATACCTAAGCCACGTGAGAACTTACGAGCCATTGAATATGTAATAAGCCCCTAAGTAATAAGCCCCCAACAATATTTCATAAATGGGAAAATCACGCATATTAAAAGTTATTTGGAATCCTTTTAAGCTGCACATAATTAGCATTCAAAAAAAAGTTGCTTACATGGAGAATTTGTCATGCTCATGAAGATTTGAACTAGGTGGATCCAAACTACATTGTGACACCTCGATCACTTCGAATAAAATATGACAACTATAAAGATGATCTTGATTACAAATACATTCAAGCTCCTCGGATTCAAGTAGGTATGAATTAAAAAACATGCAAATTCATAGTGGATTCTCATTCTTATGTATATGTATGGTTGGCACTATATGATAAGGGCATATCATTATTGATACCTAGTTGGCAAGCTTGTAATCATATCTTGTAATTTTTAGCCACTATCATTATTATGTTGCGCCTTCAAGATACTTGAAAAATAGATGGATGATAACATAATGAAAGAGGCGTAGCTTGAGGCGCCTTCTTTTGATGATAAATTAAATCTGAATGACTTTTTCAAATTGTCTATGTTGCACCGATACACCTATTTATGAAGGCGTGTTGTATCCGATACACAGATACGCCTCTGATACTCCACTGATACGTGTCGGATACGCCAAAGCCGCATCCAATTAAAATACTATTTAATTTCAAAAGGACATGCGTATCAATACGCGTGACCGTTGAAAAACCAAAAGAAATCCGGAAAAAAAAAACGTGTCGTATTTACTTCCGCGGTTGCGAGCAAGATTCTCTCATTTCCAAGATGGATTTGAGTCTATTGATGATATGAAAATATTAAAAATTACTAATCTTTCACTTGATGAGCCTGAATTAGAAGCTATGATATTTATTGAAGATGATATAGAAGTTAAAATATATATATATATATATAGAAGTTCAAAGACAAACCAGTGAAGAAGATAATTATATCATTCCTATTGAATAGTTGAAACTTCATGTGCTAGATAATTTATGTTTATGCTTTTGTTGTTGTACTAGACATTTAATGCTTACTTATATTTTGATATTATAAGCTACAAGGCTACAAATGATGTTGTTGTCATTTTTTTTTTTTTGTAATTTTAAATATTATGCTTTGATTGTGTTCTTAATTTTTATGTATGATTTATAAATTATAATGTTGTGTCAGCGTCGTACCAGTATCCTGTATTTTTAAAAATTGACGTGTCCCGCATCTGTATCGTGTCGTATCCGTGTCGCCATATCCGTAGCTACATAGCAAATTGTCAATTATAAATTAACCATAATTCTGAGTGTAACTACATTTCAACTAGTCATCAGGATAAGTTTTCCAAAATGAAGTTTGAGGACAAGCTAATGCCCATTTTCCCATCATAGAAAGGTAACTCACTACGAAAGAAATTTCCAAGACGTACATCCCAACATCAAAATCATATATGGGATAAGTTTTCAAACTTTCACCATCACAATATGTACATCTCCAACAAGCTGAATTGATTTGATAACTTTATTATTCAATTTCATTTGTAGATAACACAAGTAGGCCATATCTAGAATTCTCATTAACTTAGGAGAACAAATGGAAATGTTACCCATCCTTGTGCATCCTATGGAGAAGTCATTCAAACTTGTTTTGGAGTTCATGCAGTTTTAGACATCAAAAACTAGTAAAGTTACTGCCTAAACCAAGGGAACAGAGTCTTGTTGACACGTGCACACAGTATACTAAAGCACATATTTTCTCAAGGGATGGAACCTAATAAGGATACCATGGAAAAGTTCTATTGTATTTATGATTTTAAGGATAGTAGCAATGACCATGTTCCAAGTGTATGTTGCTTTGCCATTATGCTTATCAAAGTCCTAATAAAAACCTCCTTGTCATAGTTGATGAGGGTGATGGTGGAGATAACTTAGCCTAGCGTATAAATGAACGAAGGGTGAAGTAAATTGGAATGGAACTGCAACCAACTCCAATTTTCATAAGGGTCAAATACTCTAAACTTGGAAATCTTAATAGGCATTGAAAAATACATTAATGTGTCTGACATCAAGAGATATCTTGCAACCATTCAGCATGCCAGTTAACTTTTTTGCATCAAATGCAATGTCTTGCCCACAATGTGCCCTCAGAAGCCAATCCTGTCTATAGAATTTATACCGTATTAAGCTGAATTAAGTATGATTTTAATTAAGCTTACTATGATTTAAAAGATTAAATAACTTATAAAAATGTAACTTTCATGATAATTGTTGGAAATAATAATTTTCTAGCATAAAATTTTCTTAAAAGTTTTGATAAATTAGCAGCTAACAAAAAATTATGGTTGCCGTCTAAAAAGTAAGACTTTGTTTGGGTCGGTTTTCTTATTGCTTCTTAAAGTAGTTTCTTAGTATAAAATTTTTAATTTTTTATTAGGAAATTGCTTTAAGAAGTAATAAGAAAGCTATCATAAACGAAGCCTAAATCAGTAAGAAAGTTGTCTAAGTAGGCCCTTAATATAATCTATATATATTTATATTTTTATCTTTATCTTTAGCTTATAGAAACAAAGAACTTTTTATGTGAAGATAACATTTATTATATAATTCTTTTAAATTTACCATATTATTAACATCATGTAATAGTTTATTAATTGATTTTTTAAAGTTTAAATAGGATCCGTCAAAAATGAATTGAGCAAATCTTGTGCTAACATTAACTCTATTTGAAGCTGAATCATTATCAATATTATAAGATTTAAAAAAAATAAATGGGTGGCTTATATATATATATATATATTCAATTCAAAAAGGCCTAACTATCAGAGCTAGGATTTGGTAACCTCCGCTGGATTTGTCCCAGAGGTGTGGCTCCTTATCTCAAGATGGGAGACTGGGATTGGATTCCTTCAAAGAGAGAGAGAGAGAGAGAGAGAGAGAGAGAGAGAGAGAGGATTCATCTACCCAACCTGTGAAGAAGAAAATAACATCGAACAGTCCAGTTTACTTATTTGGAAAACTGTAACACAACACCATGCCTAGGTGAGCAATACCAAAAAAGGGGCATTATCATTACAGCAAAAGAAAGCGTAAGATTGACCAAACTGAAGATAAGCGCATCTTTCTGCAAATTGACATATGGAGCATCTTAAAAGATTCTATTTACAAACAGAAGATTGCTAATTATGAATTTTCAAGCCAAAAGATCACTGAAAGAAACACTCAGAGAATTGAGTATCAGAATTAGTTTTCAAGCAAGATGGGTAATTATTCTGAAGCTTTGCATAGGATAGAACAATTTACCTCCACTGTAGAATGACATCAATGTCAAGCTCACGATCTAATTTGTCAATCTCTTCATTGTCATCCACTACCAAGCGGGTTAAATCTGACTTTAAGAGAGAAGCATATAGGGACAAATATCTCTTGCGGATACTTGCATATCGCAAAACGTCCTCCCAAGAGAGTTTCCCACTGCACCATATTAGTGGAATGTTATATCGAGGAAGAGAGCTAATATTTTTTTAAGGAAAATTGGCTTTTATATGTTTTGACTAGCACGCATTTCTTCATACAATTAATTTGATACACAATGCAGGAAACTCCTATATACAAATAAAGAAGCCAATCCAAATTACCCAATTCTTGATTGACAAGTATAAACTCTACATATTTGTAGCATCACGCAAAATAAGAAAGTATAGGTATATCATCTACAAGGAAATTGGTAATAGAGAATTCGTTTTACATAAAATCATAGAATAATGATGAGAATAAACATCACATGTTAACAACACAATCAACCAAGTACAAAGGATAAAGGAAGCATGTTGTAATATTATGATTAATGAGCATGCAGAGATATCCGCCAAGAAGATAAAGAAGAATCAATCGCTAGTATTAATGCATTAGTTTACTTAAAACAAGAAATAATATTGATATAGATCACAAACTGTATAAATTACTTCTTTGCCGAGCCAAACAATAAATTTTAATTTCTAGGCCCCTAGTTGCTTATCTTTTTTCTTCTGTTTCTGGGGGTGCAAATTGTAAGACTAGCCAAAAATTGATTATAATAAGCTGTAAGAGATGCTGGTTAGCCTTCTTTTAGGTGAGTCCCTCACTTAAATCTAATCCCAATCATTCTTATGCAGTGTTGTTGGTTCTTCTTTCAAGCCTCATGTACAGCCTTCCAGAATCCTCAACCATTCAGTTACAAGATTTCACAATTCAATGTTTCAATTTTTTGGGTATTGCCAAGGCCCAAGATGCATTTGTGGAAATGGTGTCTCTTGGTTTGGTTGTCATCAGGCATAGATTGATCTCTTGTCCTTAGTCATCCTGTAAACTGTCAGACCGGTCGGGCGAAACAGGCAAAGGTTTTCCGCCTCCTGTACGCAGGAGCCGACCGCCCAGGTTTGACGAAGCTCTTTTGGAAGGATTTTTTAGGGAGTTAAAGAGGGAAATTTGAATGTAGAGACTGTTTAGAGATTTCATTTTGAATTGTATGGATTAAATAGCTGGTTTTCCTAGGGTTAGGGCGTCTTGAATTTAACTGAAATTTGAGATCTCTTATGTTTAGGTTTTAGAGCTCTAGCGGCGTCTAGAGATTTGGGAGAGATTGATCGTCCTCTCGAATTGAGGATCAACTGTATCTTGCTATTTTCTTCCGTTAGTTTGTGTTCTTGCAATAAAATTCCTATTTTTCTTTGATTATCTGTGGATTTGTGGAAATTTCTTGCTATTTTTCGAGGATTGATAGAAAATACTTGAGATCTACAAGTGTTTCCTATCAAATTGGTATAAAAGCACATCGATCTAAGGGGAACCAATGGCCGGAAGGAAAGTAGAAGTTTTGGAGGGAGAACTTGTGCAACTCAAAGCAGATTTTGAGGAGAAGATTACTTATTTTCAAAATCTGATCGCATCTGTCAATGAAAGAATGGAGGGAAAGTTCGCCATGGTGGAAGAAATATTGAAGAAATTGCTAGAAGCCAAACCCAAATCAGTGATATCGGAAGCAAAGTAAACTACCGGCGGCCATGGAAGAGGTGGGAACTATAACACGTTTAGGGAAAGGAAAAATCCAGAAGTGGAGATCCTGGAGGGAGAAGACGGACTGCCTCCTCTAGAACCACTTTCTAGGGAAGAGATGAGGAGAGGGGATGATTTCGATCATCGGGGTGCTGATTTTGAAAAAAGAATAGGGGATTTTGGGGAAGAACTTGGGTATGAGCGTCGAAGGGAAGAGCATGACGATTGGTGGCCACCTGGGCACCTCCTCTTTGAGGAATGGGAGGCTATGTGATGCATGCAGGGGGGGTCAAAATAATATGAGAATTTTTTTTTTACCCTTGGGCTACTTGTGCTCTCGGTTTGGGCCTTTGGCTACTTGGTTTTGAGCTAATTTATTAGAAAATCTACTTAATTTTAGCTCATTAATGTTTGAGCTGATGGATAGCTCATTATGAGCTGAAGTTTACTTCATTTATGTGCTCAGTTGGTAGCACACAATGAGGTGATCCTTGCTCTTCTCCTCCCCTTTGTCTTCTCGGTTTCCTGTGCTTGTTGGTTTTCCCGTGCCTTGCGTGTTGGCTGGTTTTCCCATGTCTTGCCCCTTTGTTTCCTGTGTTGGCTGGTTTTCCCGTGCCTTGGCCCTTTGTTCTCTGTGCTGGCTCATCGGTTCCCTTGATGGTTTGGTTTCCCGTGGTTGCCTGCTTGGTTTCCCGTGGCTGCCTGCTTGGTTTCCCATGACTTTCTCTTCTCTGTTTCTTGTACCAAATGGGAACTGCTGTTTGGTGGCTGTTGGCCTTTTATTTCCCTAAATCTAATAGGTTCAATTAATGCTTTAAGGGGCTGTTTAGCTGCCCTCTTTTGGTCTATAAAAAGTAGATGTTTTGGAATAAAAAAAATGTGTGTTATAATGTGATTTTTGAAATAGAAAACCTAAAGGGTTTTGTTGGAAAAGCTTGCGAGCTTGTTCCATTTCTCTCTTCTCTTCTTCTTCGGAATGCTTGCGAGCTTCTCATATGTTTCGTCTTGGCTTCTAACCTCATTCTTCTTCCCGCAAGTATCCACCTCACCTGTATCTTCTTCTCAAGGCAGAACAAGTTTAGGTTTTTATTTTTATGTTTGTTTATATATCGTTTGTAAGTCAAAGTTGTAAATGTCATTTTTATATTAAAAAAGTGTCTTTTTGAGAATTTGGTGTGTTTCTTTAGCATTTTCTGTATTTCTTTTATGTAGGAAGTCTTAGTCTTTTGCTTGCAAAAATTGGGGCCCTTCCCAAATTTTTGCTTGCATCACTATGGAGGATTCGGGAACGGAGGTGACCCGAAGGTGAGAAAGCTGAAGATGCCCATCTTTGAGGATGACGACGCACATTAGTGGATCTACAAAGCGGATTGATACTTTGTAGTCAACGGGTTAACAAAGGAGGAGAAATTGACAGCGTCAGGACTGTGCTTAGAAGGGAAGGCATTGGCATGGTATCAATGGCGGGACATGAGGCGAGCCATTCGGAGTTGGAGGAGTTCAAGGATTGTTTGGTATAATGTTTTTGAACTGGCAGAGGAGGAGAATTCTATGAGCAGTTCTTCACCTTGACACGGGAGGGTTCAGTAACGGAGTACCATGAGATATTCAAGTACCTTGCTAGCCGACTGGATCGCCTTTCTGAGACAGTGCTAGAGGGAAATTTCATGAAGGGACTAACACCAGAGATCTAGGTAGTAGTTAGAGTAATGAGGCCTCGTGATTTGAGAGAGGTTGTGGAGCTAGCTCAATTGGTGGAGGATCAGAGGCATCTAGAGAGAGTGATGGGAGGCAGCAGCTCAGAAGGTCCGAACAGGAGGACCACCACCTTTATGGGACCCAAAGAGCATACATCAAATACTCTTCAGGAGACTTCGAAGGAGAAGATTGTGGGAGTAAAGATCTGGGGACAACTTCAAGAAGCTCATAGAAACAGAATTACAGGAGAAAAGGGTGAAGGGGCTCTGTTTTAGATGTGACAAGAGGTATATGCCGGGTCATAGGTATAAGGACCAAACTCTTCAAGTCCTTATCGTTTGTGATGAAGAAGAAATGAAGGAGGGTGTTGTCTTTCCAACTTGCGGACAATGTGGGTTTTTGGGAGGGGAATATTGTTAGACCGGTCCATACAGGACCGGCTTACCGGCGAAACCGGCAGAGGTTTTCCACTTCCTATAAGTAGGAGCCGACCGCCCGGGTTTGACGGAGCCATTTTAGAAGGATGTTTGAGGCAGTTAGGAGGAAAATTTGAATGTAGGGACTGTTTAGAGATTTCCCTTGAACTGTATGCATTAAATAGCTAGTTTTCCTAGGGTTAGGGCATCTTGAATTTGGCTGAAATTTGAGATCTTTTAGGTTTAGATTTCTGGGCTCTAGCGGCATGTAGAGAGTTGGGAGAGATTGATCCTCCTCTCAAATTGAGGATCAACTGTATCTTGCTATTTTCTTTCGTTAGTTTGTGTTCTTACAATAAAATTCCTGTTTTTCTCTGATTGTCCATTGGATTTGTGGAAATTTCTTGCTGTTTTTTGAGGATTGATAGGAAATATTTAAAGATCTGCGAGTGTTTCCTATCATAAACCAGCTGATCTCATCTCCATGCCATCCTTCAAAGAGGTGGCAGATGATAAAGCTCATCTTCAAATTTATGGTTATATTTATGGCTCTAATCTCAGGATTATCTTCAAGTTTATGGCTGCATTTATGACTCTGATCTCGTGATCTGAAAGAGTGACGTATTTGAAGCTATCACTTGACATTAGATCAATGATTGGATCATTTCTTATCTCTTTTCTCAAACCCGGTTCTTTTTTTGGAAAGTTCAAATCTGGTGAGGTGCTTATATCCACTGTTAATTTTTGCCTTTTTTTCACCTTGTAACTTCTTCCTAAATTGTTTTCTTGTTCCTAATGAGAAAGATTAATCCCAAGTTTTTCATTAAAAAAAAGGATGCATAGAGGGAGGGGAGCACACATAGAAGATACAATTAGTATTTAAAAACTTAGGTTGCTTAGCATGCAAAATAGAGGGTAGAAGATGCATCGGCAATATAGGTAGATAAAAGCAATGTGAAAAGATTAAGAACCAATAGGCATTGACCAAACTTAATAATGGTTAAAAGTTAAATTTTTGTGCAAAATAGAGTTAACACTTTATGCAGCACCCAATTGAAATGGTTGGATGAGGATTCATAAAGCCAACTCAAATAGTTAAGATAAAGCTCATGATGATGCTGATTATGATATTACAAATTAAGGATTAAGAACTGCGCATACTTCATCTTGTTTCTCATACCATCCAACTTCATAAACCTCCTTACAAAATAACAGATCTGGACTGCGGAAGAAATCTTATACCAACAGCAATGCTACAATGTTTTCGTTTCAAAATATTGCAAAAAGGTTACAACAAAGTTTGGAACTTGACATGTTCCAATAGCAAATGGCGAAAAGAAACCGGTTCTTGCTGATAAATTTCAAGTTCAAAACACTTTGAGAAATGCCATATGCTTCAAAGGTATAACCAGCACTTCAGTAACAAATAACACTTGTCCCCAAAAAACAGTTGATGAGAAAGATACATGGCTTCTAAATGCGCATATACAAATATTTAACAAGGATAGCAGGTAATTTTTTTTAAAAACGTAATCCATTCAATTCACTGAAAGCCTTAAAGCATTCAGAATCATGGAAGAGTTGAATGTTGATTGCCGTTTCCATAAGTTCAAACAAGCTAAATCACTTTACAGTAAAAGAAAAAAATGAAATAAAGAGCGCCTTCTAAAAGATGATCTCTGCATGTATATATTACATTAACATGAGAATCAAAACAAATGGACAAAAAATTTTACGTTGCCATGTAAGATTTTAATGCATAATACAAAGCATCCAAGAGAAAATGAAGAAAATGGGATCCAACATCCTGAAATATAATCATGATTAAATTTCATCATCTGAAGCGGGAAGTTTCGCACTGTAAGCCAAAAACATAGAAGAGGATGGTTACCTCGCCTTCTTCATTTCATCAGTTACCACTTTGTAAGCATAAGTCCACCATGCTCTAGGGTCAGATTTTACAGGAACTTGTGGACGATAATGAGCATATTTTAACCGCTGATTAAAAGCTGCAAAGTTATCAGCAAGCTTCAGAATGTCTCTGAATCCATCCTACAAAGTTTACCCAGGAATGATCAAAAATCAATCTGCATTAATGGAAAGAAAACTCAAGAGTTATTTGAAATGCACCTTGGATAAGCATAATGTAACATCATCTAGATTAATGACTGCCTGCTGTAATGCTTGTCCGGAAGTTTTTGATTCATCTATTCTCAGCTTTGTGTACTTCGCATTTCCCGTCACTGGTTGTAAAATGTAATCATGCTCTCTTGGATCATCACTAAATGATTGAGCTTTGCCAACTCCTAGCTCAAATATCTACACATTAAGATCCAATACATTATCCATAAACTCGGAAAAATGAAATTCACTTAACATGAAAACAATACCTGACTCCATTCTGAAGGAAGTAAATCTTCCCACGATTTTTCAATATGCCAAGGAGAAATATCAGAGTCAAAATAAAAAGCTAGGCGATCAAGTTGCACAGACTGCAAAAGAGTAAATGCTTAATGTTAATGTCCCTAACACATTTTTCTAAGACACATAAAAAGTAAGCCTTCAGCATCTGGAGAGTGATTTGGGAAGCAAATTTGGATAATACCAAAATATCTCAGAACATAGAAAGAATCATGGAAACAAAGTAATTAAAAAGCAGCAATCAGAGAATTTTGTAAGTTCTATAACAAAAGACACAACATACCTTCTGAATGTGCTCCAGAGCCCCACCAGTAGCAAAAGTTTCCTTCCCTGATTCATCGACCGTCACTGCTGAAAGCCTAGATAGCGTCAAGCCAGCTGCGAATGGGTGGCCAGGATTGCTGTGAAGATTTGCAGTAAGAACTTCTAAGAACCCAGAAACAAATTTGTATGTGTGGGTATATAAATCAATACAAAACAAAAAATAGATCGCAACCTTTCCAGGTCTTCATATCTAACATGAATATTGGTTATGGAGAGCTTCAGATTTCCAATTATAGTACTGATTACCGAACCCAGCCATGATGTATTCTTTGATGGTAAAACATGCCAGTTAAGCAAACACGATTAAAATGAGACAAATGTTGCACAAATACTATAAAATATGAAAGACATTCTAATTTCTTTCTAAATAATAAGATGCAACAAAATACTCCTATTTTAATAATAATTATAAATCATTCTTCAGTATGAACGACATTAAAAAAAAAATGAAGAAAGAAACATTTAGCCTTCAAAAGTAACTAAAGAGATAATAGAATATAAGCACACTTTAGGTAAAACATAATGGTACTGCAAATAAAAGAATTCTTACCTTTCTGAAAGTGACATCATAATGGATGTTTTCACAGCATAGCCATGGGAGGGAGGAAGAGATGATGGGGCAGAGGGGTGGAAAGAGGGGGTCCATACAATAACAACACCAAGCCTTTATCCCACTACATAGGGTCGGCTACATGAATCCCTTTTCTCCATTGTGTGAGTCAATTTCTCATTTAAATCTAATAAAAAAAGATAATTTATAATATTGTTTTTAGGTCTAACTCTACCTTTCTTAACATAGGCCAAATTTAATACATCTACTCTCCAAATCAATCATCAGAAGGCCGACGTTTTATGTGATCAAATCATCTAAGTCGACTCTCTCTAATATTATCTGCCACTGGAACTACTCCAACCTTTTCAAATATACACTCGTTTCGCATTCTGTCTACAAGAGTGAAGCCATTCATCCGCCTTAGCATCCTCATCTCTACAACACTTAATTTTATGCTTCTCTTTTAATGGCCAACATTCTGCATCATAAAGCATTGCAAGTCTCACCACAATCCTATAGAATTTTTTCTTAAGTTGGAGGGGTACTTTTATATCACACAACAGGCCCGATACATTCCTCAACTTCAACCATCCAACTTGAATTCTACTAATAGACTTTGAGATATCTAAAATCCATACTCTTATTAATGACTTAATCGCCCAAAATCACAATTCCCCCACTAGATCTATTACTACTAAAATTATATTACATGTACTTGGCTTTAGATCTACTCAAATGAAAACCTTTAGACTCTAAGGGGGTTCATTTAGCATAAAATTGTGTTGTATGTGGTAAATTTTCCAATCTAAATTTAAAATGCTAGAGCTTAGCATAAGCAAACCCTCATCCAATATTTTTATTATTAATAGACATTAATAACAAGAACATATTGTCAAGTTGAGATGTCTAAATACAACAACACCAACATCAAGCCTTTATCCTACTACTTGGGGTCGAGTACATGAATCCTTTTTCTCCATTGTGTCCTATTAAAAGTCAAATTCTCGTTTAAATCTAATAAAGAAAGGTCATTCCTAATATTTTCTAACCAAGTCTTTTTAGGTCTGCCTCTACCTTTCTTAATATAGTCAAATATAATACATCTACTCTCCTAACCGGGTCATGAGAAGGCCGCCGTTTTATGTGTCAAAACCATCTAAGGTGACTCTCTCTAATATTATCTTCTACTGGAGCTACTCCAACCTTTTCACGTATATGCTCATTTTGTATCCTATCTCTAAGGGTAAAGCCACTCATCCACCTGAGCATCCTCATCTCTGCCACACTTAACTTAGTATTATGCTTCTCTTTTAATGGCCAACATTCGGCACCATAAAGCATTGCAGGCATCACCACCATCTTATAGGATTTTCCCTTGAGTTTGAGGGGTACTTTTCCATCACACAACAAGCCTGATGCATTCCTCCACTTCAACCATCCAACTTGAATTCTGCTGATAATATCCTCATCTATTTCACCATCACTCTGAACAATAGATCCAAGATATCTAAAACATGTACTCTTATTAATGACCAATATTCATGTGCTATATGATTAATGCTGGAAAACCTAGAAACGATGGGGCAAGAAAGATAGTGGGAATAGAGCACAATGAAGACAATATGGAAGATAACATTGGCCCGGCTAAAGATCCACCAATAAGGTAATTAGAAAAATCTCTGTGAGCAGAATTGGCAGGAAAAGGAGAAGATCAAATGTCAAGGGGCTAGAAGTAAAGCCAAAAAATGAATGAAAAAGTAGAAACTATTCATATAGCACTCAAAAGTAATAAATAAAGGGGTAGGATTCTTAAAGCCAACCCCAAATATTTTACATTAGGCTAATGTGTTAAATCTCAATCGTCCCTTGACACTTGATCCTACGGCCAAGAAGGAAATTCGTGGGAGGCTCACCTAGATCCTGCTGATCTCACTCTATATTTGGATGATTTAGGAAAGATTATATTAGGGCAATTATGCATGATTCATATACAAGTAGGAATAACTCTGTGTAACAAAATGAAGCATTTTCCCTCTCCAATTCTCTAAATTTAACCTGGCATATGAGTCTTCATTGTCTTTACCAAAATTTTGAGTTCTTTCTATTGTCGTGCATTCATTGTTGGCCTTCCCTTATTATTATTATCCTATCTATATAACCAACGCAGACTTCATTGTTGCTCTGCTTGATATAGCCTTCATAGCTACCCTTTGCCACCACAATGTCTGAAGCAAATTCCACCAAAAATGTTGACCAAATGGATGACTCAATTGTACACCAAGGAAGAGATCTCCAAAATATTCAACCTTCCTATCGCTTAAATGGGAAGAATTACTTGAAGTGGTCTTAATTTGTGAAGACCAACTTGAAAGGGAAACGAAAGATGAATCACATCTTTGGGGTAGTACCAAAAGAAGATCCTAATTTTTTGGGCATGGGAAGAAGCATACTCTATGATCATGTCATGATTGTGGAATTTCATGACTCCAAAAACTAATGATACTTTCATGTTTCCTATTTACTGCAGAAGACATATGGGATGCCGCCAGGTAAACATTCTCAAAATCTCGAGATGCTGCACAAATCTTTGAAATTAAAGTCAAGATGAGAAGCACAAAACAAAGAAGCAAGACTGTGACTAAATATGCCACTCTCCTTCAAAGTTTGTGGCAAGAACTTGATCACTACAAATGCATAGAGACCAAATGTCCAGAAGATGCCGCTATCCTAAAAGATTTATTGAGAAATATAGTGTATGACTTTCTTGCAGGATTAAATACGAAGTTTGACCATGTTAGAGTTTAGATCCTTGGCAAAGAGGAGGCACCCTCACTAAATGAGACTATTTCTCTCACTCGGGCTAAGAAAAACCAATAAGGCGTAATGTTGGAACCAAAGGTTATTGAAATTTGAGCAATTGTAACAGCCAAAGAGACATGAAATGAAAGATGTAAGGATTCCTCAAAACCTAAAAACAAACTCTCTTTGGTGCAACTATTTCAAGAAATCAAGATTCACAAAGGAGAAATGCTGGAAGTTACATGAAAAGCCCCCAACTAAGGAGTGGAATCAAAGTGGAAAAAAAGGAATATCACAAGCTAACACTACAACAAGTCAACCCAATCCAAAAACGCAATCTAGCTTCGGAGAGCTCAACAAAAAAAATATTGATAAGCTAAAACAAGTCCTGGTATCCCTTGAAAAATCGCCTCCATCTTCTTCTCTTGCACTTTAAGACAAGTTTCCTATATTCATTGGATTAAGTGCCTCTAGAAAACATTACAAAAGTGTATAGATTATTGACTCGAGAGCCACATATCACATAACACTCCACTTTCTACTTCATCAACTACAATCCTTACCCGAGTGATAAGAAAATCATTACTGATGATGGTTCTCTTACCACAGTAGCTAGTCAAGGAGACATACCCTTATCTCCCTCCCTCAATCTCAAAAATGTGCTCCACGTACCTCAATTATCCACAAACTTAATCTTCATACAAAACCTTACCAGTGATTATAATTGTCAAATCCAATTTACCGTACTTGTTGTTTATTTCAGGATCAAAGATCAGGAAAGAAGAATGGACTTGTTAAGAAGAGAGATGGATTGTACTACCTGGCAGAGCTGAACAAATCCGCTATTATCAATAATGGTTATTTTATGTTTATCCCTATTTAATAAAAAAATCTATTATTTGGCTTCATCATTTTAGATTAGGACATTCATCTTTTGATGTCATTAAAAATGTGTACCCAAAACTTTTTTATAAGTTGAAAAAAGAATCTTTTATTTGTGAAACTTGTGAGTTAGCCAAGTATAAACAAGTTTCTTTTACATACAAAAATCATAGATGTCATACCCTCTTCTATCTTATTCATAGTGATATCTAAGGACTATCAAAAATTTCTTAAATCTCATGGGCCCCCACTGGTTTGTATCCTTTATCTATAACTGCACTCGAGTCTCTTGGATCCTTTTCCTCAAAAATAAATATGATGTTAGCACTATCCTTCCCATTTTTCACACCATAATCCAGAACCAAATAGAGGTAAAAATAAGAAAATTTCGTTATGACAATGCCAAATATTACTTTAACCAAACTCTATCATCATACTTTCAAAAGGAATGTATCATTCATAAGTCTTCCAACATTCATACCCCATATCAAAAATTGGAGTAACAGAAAGAAAAATGCATGCCTTCTTACCTCCACCCGTGCACTTCTATTCCACACAATGTACCCAAATTCTACTGGAGGAAAGCTCTTCTAACTACCACATATCTCATAAACCAACTACCTTCAACAATCTTGGGACTACAAATACTAATGAATATTCTATCCTCTTTTTATCCAGAATTCCCTAACCAAAAACAACCTCACACCTAGAATCTTTGGGTGCACTGCCTATGTTCACATTAACAGTCAAAATAGAGGAAAATTATATACAAGAGCACTCAAATATATATTTATCGGATATTCATCCACCCATAGAGGTTATAAGTATTATCACCCCTCCACCAAGAAAACCCTTGTATTTGTTGAGATTATTTTTAATGAACAAAAATCCCATTTCACCAAACCCCCTTCAAGGGGAGACTGAAACTAAGAAAAGTGAGCTTTCCTCTAAACCTTCAGCTCCACCTCAAACCAATCAACCTAAACCTATAATCAAAGCAAGGGAAATTGAGGTTAAAACTATTATGGATAAC